GATCGTTGACGAAGTCTTCTACTCCGTAAGCGTACACCTTGATTGCCGTTGTAATCTCGTTCACTACAGAAGCGCTGCTAGTGTCAAAGTGTACGCCTTTAACAACAGAAACGGGCAATTAGATGCTTGAAATGACAAAACTAATTAAAGAAATAAACCACCCAAGTACCTTATTTACCTGTGTGCTAGACAAAATTACCCCCAGAACTGCCCCTAAAATTTATTTGGTTCTTTTTACCAAGAGATTGTGATGAAAGCCAGTGTGTAATGAACAGTCTGCTTACGGCACTTCTGAAACACTTGCACCAATAAATACGGCAACTCTATGTTATTAGGCCTTTCGGGAAAAGTTGATTTTCAACTGACCAGGTAGTTAATTCATCGTAAGGAATTCATAATAATATTAGATAATGACTTCCAACGATGAAAGTTCCCAGCACTGCCAAAAGCGAGGACGCACATTGGTTTCTAGGAGCAGTGGGTTCGAATACAGACAACAGCATGTGATGCGTATGACGTCATCACGTCACTCGCCCATAACAATAGCCTGGCATCCACTCCGCTTGTGGCCAATGCTATTAAGTTTATGGGTTCTGCAATAGTAATCAGCTACTAAATCGACCTGGAAGGTGCATTATCATCACATATGGACTTAAATCGTTACGACTTCATGAGGTTACTACAAATATTTTGAACAAACTTCCAACTTTCATACCAGGTGGAAAATTGAAACACGCTGATTAGTAATATGGCTGGAAATTCTTTATTTTATTAAAACTGGCACTTTTTCACACACTTTTCATTCTTTTCCAGTGTTCGTCAATACAAAACTACATTTTTAATTCAAATTGTACTTACGCCACTGCACATCTTCGATGCTAGTGATAGTTATCATGTGCATTAAGTTCTTAATTTGTCGATGATCAAATAGGAGGTAGAAGCTTTTTTAATTTTACAAGTTCTTTATACACTTTGTATACGAGGCTGCATGGGCCCCAGAAACCGATCTGGACACGGATACGAAGAAATGAAGCCAATTATCAGTACGTTGCCTCCTTCATCACTAAGATGTATATTAGCATGTTTGAACTTAAGCTACAAAAGACATACTTAGCGCCCTGCTACAAAATTACAGTGTGTTTTACAACTCCAAATTTAGTTAACCTCATATATATTTTTTTAAAAAATACGTAACACCGAATGCTGGTAAGATCTGGTCTTCCATGAACTTAAATGGATAAAGTGAAAAGATAATGCTAACAGGTGCACTTAATTCCTTGCGTGAAACGCATCTAAAACGAAAGTTGTGTTTTAAACGCGGAACTAAAGCAAATTATAACGCGTGGACTGTTAAAAGGTACAGTTGTGGAAATGCTGAGCAACAAGTGACAAATATTAAATGAGGCAATTATAACACAAACCACATTACAAACCTCCTCATATCCGGAGACAGGGGAGTAAATAAGCTTAGTTCAGCTTTGTTATATAATGATCTGCTTTAGTATCCATAATATTCCTGCAACACAGTCACAAGAACCTTAAGATATATTGCAAGAAGTTTATATTATTCTTTCCCTGAAAGGGAGTTTGGAGTGTATTTACAGTCTCGGAAAAGACACTCGAAACGATAACCAATATCGATCATTCGTTAAACATGAGTAATGGCAAAAATAATTGGCCGTAATATGTCACACGGAATCACTGTAATAGCAAAGAAGGTGACGTTATTTTTTTTACAGTGCACGTTTTATAACATTTGCTCTTTGTAACAGAAGGAGCAAAATGGATACAAATTACAATTAGTGCTAATTATTTTCAATTCTGTGTCGGCGATATTCGATACCGTAAAACTTTATGAGCACAGACTTTGTTGAAAGAATGACAGTGGCTCGGATTCCTAAGAAATTCCTTGTATTTTAAGAAACCCAAATGTTCGTTTCTGTGTTGACAAAAGTTCGTCACTAGTCCTTATGCTGAGTCAGATAAATTCCCTTTATAACCTCATACTAAGATTCATTTCAATATTATCCTCCAATTTAAGTCCACATCTCCCAAGTGGTATATATCTATCATGTTGTCCGTTTAAAATTCTGTACCCATTTATCATCTTTCCTATTTGCGCCCATCTCATCCTCTTTTGCGAGGACAAAATCATACTACTTCGTTCTATTTGTATATTTCTGATTTTAACCTCGGCTGTTATTTTGAACATTGTTCACCGTTTTGGATATCTGTTAAAAACATACAATGATTCGAAAGCTGGATGTGCCTACGTAGTCAGTACACAAATTCCGTCTCCAAAACGTGTGTATTTAACAGATAGCCAAAATGATGATTGCAGCACACTATCCTCAAAAACCTCTTTGTGGTTTACTTAAAAACACTTGCAATATCTTAGATAATACAGCGTCGAATGACAGGATAAGACCACAATCAGCAGTAAAATCTCAAATATCACATTTTAACGTTCTTGGCCTCTTGAAACTTGTGCCTATCGCCGTTGGCATCAGTCTTCCACAACGAAAATCATTCTCTTTGGCCTACAATTCAGTGCAAGGGTGAACTGTTACCGCAGACCTGAATTATCCTCCATGGCCCTGTGGCTAGTCAAATATAACGAAGAGCTACTCGTTGAAATATCTGTGGTCACATAAATATAACACCGAAACTTGCGAGCTTCCGGGAACAAAATCTCTCTCGTCATTTCATTTCAAACCGGTTTCATGAGTGATGAAACTGTAACCTGAACATTATATAGTCTGTACCTAAATAAAGTAACGCTTCCTGGACACGCTATGATTCCAGTTGTCAAAGTACAATTAACAATTCCGAGCTGAACAGCTTTCTAGTGCTGCACATTTTAAATTACCTTACTCTACTCTACACTAAACAATACAAATTTATGTAATGTACTACGCAGCATATAGTCCAACGCCGAAACAAGATTCCGTATTAAAAACAACTGTACAACGTCATACATCACCACACTGACACACAGAAGGGGAGCGTCGCGACGCCAATCCACGTGACGTCAACAAAAAATTCCCGGATAAAGCCAAGAAGGGTCTCGGGACATCGAATGATTTGTAAAGGGTATAGAAGGATGCTGTCGCTGCTTAATTTCAAGTACTATCGCAGTATTTGTCTGGAGGGACTGAGAAAAAGTTGGATAAACTATCACCTTCAGATGTAATTTACAATAAATGACATTATTTACCCGCCCAATAATTCATCTCTTTAGTTTAAATACAATTTTCTTGAAACGTCTTCTGTTAGTTTCTTTGTCATAGAGTACGAACTAATTAATTACGCTTAAACTGACATTATTGACTTAACCCCAATACTAATGGTGACAAATCGAAATTCTTGACGTTACACAGGCACTGGCAGTAGACGGAGAGAGATGAATCTTTACGTGCTCAACTTCCATGAATTCCCACGAGATGTTGGAGTACACTGTGTTCGCACTACATTTATCATTTGAACTTTCTTCCCAATAAGAAACAACAAATAATTAAAAGTAGGCCTATCAGTAACTGTTCTCTTGATTTAAATTTATCGTTCCTTACTTGGTGCAATAATTTAACACATAAATTTAAACTAATGCAGACTGCAAATATTTCATTACATATACACTTGACTGAAAATTAACAACAAGCAGAACTACAGCAGTAGTTATCGTACTCAGAAATAATTCAGTGACATAGTACCCATACGTAATTAACAGCACTCAGACGTCACAGGCATATGACCTAACATGAACTCGAAATATCACGTGACACAAAACATTTATTACTGCTTTAAAGCATCCCATTTCAGTGTTCCCCTAGTCAAAAGTTACTTCAGTAACTTCTCTGTGTTGTTTTTTCATAACCCCAAAATACGTTTCATTTGTAGAATGGTCATAAGAAATGTTTTTAACATAAATATCAGCATTCCTAATACGGGTCTAGATAAATATTTCTCAATAACTACAAGGGGCTTCCAGTTCTCAAATAGAAAAAGACGGTTTGAGGTGTTTGAGAACAGGGTGCTGACGAGGTTATAAAAGTGACAGTAAAAGTACAACTGTCGCACTATACCCTACGCCATTTAGGCGCTTAGGGGGAGAGAGGGTTTGCTCCTACTCATTCTTGACCTCGGCACCAGATGGGGTGAGTGATTAGCGTCAAGCCCCGGCCGCGCTTTACCTCCGGGAAAGGACTCCGGTACCCTTTGGATAGGAGGTTGGGTGGGCCCCAGAGCCGGTCTGGACGCAGATGCCAGAGGAAAAACCCTCTGCCCCCGTCGGGGATCGAACCCCGAGAATATATGGACCTAAAAGCGATAAAGTGACAGGAAGCAGGAACAATTTGCACAGTATGGAGCTCTATACTTGTACTCTCCATAAAATATTATTAGGAAGAACAAATCAAGGAGAATGAGATTAGCGACACATGTAGCACGCGTGGGGGGAAGAAGAAGAGCATGAACAAATTTATTGGATCGCTCGGTGGGGATAAATCCATTTTGCAGAAATGTTGTGGAAGGATTTGGATTTGGTTAATCTTGTTCAGGATAGGGACCGGTAGAGGGGTCTTGTGAACACGATAAAAGCCTGGCACTATTCGAATAGCTGAGCGTACTTCTCAAGAAGGACTCTGCTTCATGGAAGGAGTTAGTTCTTGTGTCCAAGTGTAGAATTCTTCCATACTTCGTCAGTGACAATGGCACAAAACAACATGCAACTTAAAACTACACGAAATGAAATATTTT